CAAAGGATAAACATTACAATGGATATTTTAATACTTCATCTTTAAGCTGGCTAATATGTGTTGTAATATATTTTCGTATGATCAGCTGAGGTGATCGATGCCAGGAGAAAGAGGACTCAGATCTCTACAGCTAAAGGTATATGCTTCTCCTGGTAATGTTGAGACTCAGCTGTGTTGTCTTGGCTGTGCATTTCTTAACTGGCTAAGAAGTTTGCCATTATGGATGGGCAGAGACCCATAGTGGGTGAGCTGTGGGTGTGTTTTCTGTCCATTAGTCAGCCTAGGCAAAATGCAGATGTTTCATAATGGCTTTTTTGCGACACCGTATTTCCCTGAGTTGTGGAGAGTAGAAGGAGGCTTGAAATCACAGTTTGTCTCACCATTTAAGATGGTGTGATTGAGGTTTAGGGTCATTTTCTCTAGCTTAAATTCTATTAAAGAAACAAATATGTGAGCAAGTGTTTTCACTGGTGTGGCAAGTCCCTTGAATTTTGACCCTGCTTCTACTCCCGTTGAAACCAATGGCAAAACTTCTGTTGACTTGAGGATCTTGCTTTGCTGTAACGTGATAATGACAAGCTTCAGTGAAGCAAAATGATACTTCACTTTTCACTTATAAAATAGTGATGTTTAGTATCATCAGAACAAAAGCTCTTAAAAAGTCATGCTAAAATTAGAGCACTGAAAAGATCTCATATGCAAATTGGAATGAACTGTGTCATTTGCAGGAAGCAGTTAGGAAGTCCTGTGCCATCCCATTAAAAAATCCATCCATCTTAATTAAAAAGTAGAACAATCCCCTTTCCCACTTACCTTTCCTGCCATCTTACTGTAACTTTGTTTTTCTTTTCCTACTGCAAAGTTTGATATCAAAAGCGATGTGTGCTTCAGTGAAATCCAGATAGCAAATAGCTCGTCTTGTAGTATGCACAAATCTCACTCTGGACAGTGCACTCTACACACGCCTCTTTACTCACGGAGCGCGGAGGAGGAGGCTGGCGTCACCATCCTGTGCTCCCAAGAGTGGCTCAGCGCCCAGCACAGCTGATAGTCCTGAGGCTGCCTGGGAATGTGTCTGCATAATAGCAAGTGCCTGATCCAAAGGCAGGAGCCTCCTACCCATGGGCAAGAGAAGTCCTTTTCTCTGCATGAGATCAGAATCTGAGCCAGGGATTTTTATAAAGGTGTAGGTAGGTGGCCATAAGAGTGTGAGTGCCCAAGCAGTTAAGACACTCAGGCTTTGGGAATGCCTCCTGAATATTTGGAGCTCAAAACCAGTGCAGAAAGATAAGGGGAGGAGCACGTTTTCCAGAGAGGGTAGAAGAAATTATCGGCTTTCATCTGGAAGTGTTTGGTGGCATTAGACTATGGAATGAAGTGAATACATTTCATCTGGAAGTGTTTGGTGGCATTAGACTGTGGAATTAAGTGAATACGAAACTACGTTTTTGACCTGAAAGCAAAACATCAAGGAGCAATGCTGAATTGCACTTCTTTTTTTGCTTTGTCCCCTGTAGAAAATAAGGCATCTTCCACTTCTACCTTGTTTAAGTCCAAGTAGTAGGGAAATACGGGTTTTGTTGGATAAAGATATGCTCTGTGCTGATTTAAAATCAGCATACTTCCAGTTAGACTGTCCTTTGAATGTGCAGATAACTGCCACTCTCCACTTTACCCTTCAAACTGCACTTTCACGTGTTTGGTTAAAAATTCTATCCTCAAGGTCATGGCATTCAAACTATGTCGGACTGGGAAGCAAATGGCTCTAGCAAATACGATGGGCATTTCCCAGGGTGCTCAGTCACAGACCTTCTGTGGAGGGCGAGGGAAGTCTGCTTCTGTTTTGATCAGCACGTCGTGTCATTTTAAAATTTGATGTTGTTCAAAACATTATTGATGCCTATCAGGAAAGAACAGCCTGTTTCCTTTCATTAGTTGTCATCACTAACGGGAAGCTGGCACTGCTTTATGTAGTTTTTTGTGGAGTTGAGGTTCTCGGTCGCCTTTTCTGGGTTGTTCTTGTTGCCTGTGTGGCATTGCAGGGTGGGAGAACAAGGTGCTCTGCTCTGCTGGTAGTTTTAAGACAGTTTCTCTGCCTCAGTTTTTCCCATTATTGAAACTGAGCAATTATGTTTGTTTATTTTCTAAGTGTATCTCTGTGCAGTCTTTTATAAAGCTGGTTATTTTTTTCTGGCTTTTAACTCAAGCAGTTGGATGTGACCAACAGTAACAATTAGTGACTCATTAGTAAATTAAATTAGTAATTTAACTGGAAATCTTTCTTAGATTTATTTTGCTCATAAAAATGATTGTCTCTTACAAATAAAGTATTCTACAGTGCATTGTAACACAGCAATTTTTTCACAAAAAAGTCGTGATGTAGAGAACAATTTTATTAATGTTTTAATTTAATTTTAGTACATAATTCATATTAATGCATGTCACATCATAATGCCTTTGTAAGTACTTTGAGGATATCAAATAAAACACTTAAAAATAACTTCACAAAATAAATTATAGTCTGTTTAAGAACAATATGCAGACATACCCTGGTACATATAATTGTGTTGTTGTGCATATTCTTCCTCTAGTGGTGCTCAAGCACCTTATTTAACCCCGGAGTCAGAGTTTATTTTTAATGTGGGAAGGGACACCAGGCCTTGTGGGATTAAAAAACACCTTTGAGAAAAAAAGCATAAAAATAAGCAGTGAGCCAAAAGAGCAGGAAGAAAGAACCAACTAGCAGAGAAAGCTATGTTCTGGAAGTCAAAACTATAAGACTAAAGTGATAATTACCAAAATTCAAGCTGATTTAGATGTTTAAAGGATGTTAAAGTAAATAGCAAAAGGTTCTTTGGTTGTATAAGAGAGAAGTGATCTTCTGTGAAATGAGAGGGGTGGCCATCAGAGATAATCCAGCTATAGCTGTCAGACTAAATTAATACTTCATCTTGTTTTTCAGTAAAGACAATGATGTTGACATTATCAGGAAATCTTTTTAAGTCCTGTATGTTCATCTGCAATTTATTGTCTAACTTTTGCCACCTGTGTTTAGGAAAGATGCATTCAGATAGCAGCAGGGTAGAGAATAGCTAGGTCAGGGAAGAGATAGAAGATCTAACTTGTTTACAAGCAGTAAAACATGCTGGAAGGGGAGATGATCATTGTCTGGAGAGTCCTTTGGAATTGTAAATAGTACTGAAGGAGAAGCACTGCTTCAGCTCAGTGATGTCATCGTCGCATGAACAAATTTGTACGTTTGCTGTGACTTTTAGTCTGGAGATGAGAAGGTGGTGTGTTAGTTGCCAAAGCAGTGCGCAGGAGAAGCAAAAAACAGAAAAACCTAACTGGTTTTGAGATAGAGCTCAAAAAATCAGTGGAAGGATTATGTGGTGCAGTTCTTGGTGATAACACAGGCTTGGAACTGATAACGCAGAAGATGACTCCCAGTCCATGTGCTTACAAGAAAAGTCATGAAGCGTTAATCTCACCTCTTCCCTCCCTTTTCTACACCTCCACCTAAAATTAGATGGGTTTAAATAGGCGTTGTCCCATCACGACAGTTGAGCACAACTAGGTAGGAACTGGACAAAACAAATAGAGGATTTTTTTTTCTTAGTGTGCAGTCTGTCAGGTGAGGACAGTCGCCTCTTCCTGAGCTGAATGAAGGAAAGCATATTACTGGCATTGGTGGGTTTTCATGGAAAATGTGTGTTTGTAATGCCGGGAAGTGTTCTGTTTGTTCAGATCAAGTAATTTGAACCAACTTCAGTAATACAAATTCGAACAGCCTAAGAAGTGATCTTGAAGCTGTTATACCCTGTTTTCATAGAAATGCTCATATGTTTTTATTTTTTCGTTAAGTGACTCCATTACAGATTTAACTTCTCCCCCTTTACTTTTTGAATTTATTTATTCGTTACAGCTGCTTACTTAATTAAAGGTGAAAAGGGAAAAACAGAATTATAAGGAATCTTAAAAAAAACCAGTTCTTAACTTTATTGTTCTCCTACTGGTATCGAAGCCAAACTTTGATGTTTTAGTGGCAACCGAGGCAAGCATTAAATATTGTTTAGTTTGAACATTGAAATTAGACCAATAATGTCTGCAATACAAATTCAGGCTAAACATTTTCTGGGATGTTTCTGTATTGCTTTAAAAAGAATGGTATCTTTCATGTAGATATATGTTAAAATCTTAACACCTCACAGTCTTGTGACTACCAAGTTACCTTCAGTTATGAGCATGACTTAACCTCTGCACCTGGCTTTCCAGACAGTGGAACTTGGGTGTGGGATGTACATGGCATGAACACCAGCCATGTCTATACAGAGAGCGTGAGTGAAGCTGTCATGAGTCAGAGTGTAAATGAACTTGGGTGCAGCAATACATGCTTTGTCAGAGGAACTAGGGGATGGACATTTAGGGACCTTCAGGTTATGAAAGGCATACTTGTATGCCTTGCTTATCATATTTTAAATGTGATCTGAATGTAGCAGTGCTTCTGGAAAAGACTAGCTAAGAAAGCTTAAGCTGGTTAAAAAACTCTTAGATGTGTGGCAAAGCAGATTCCCAAAGTGCTTCTACTGCAGAGCAGTACTCTGATAAATTCCGGAAATAACGTATGAAGAGTTTGAAAATGGGTCACTTCCAAGACTACTAAGGAAAGCAGGCCTGTTTTCTTCCTCAACTGAATGTTGCAGGAGAACTTCAGTGTTCCCTGTCAGGAGCTGAGCACCACCAACCACCTTTGCATATGACTTTCTCGGCTTAGCTTCCTCGTTTGCCCAGCAGCTGCTTCATTTCACTGCAGTGGTGGCCAGATTGCCTTCTGTAGTCAGCGTGTGATTTCACAGAGAAGTTTCACAGTATGTTTTGAGTAATGATGGGAGATAGAGGTAGTCCCAAATATCAGAAGATACAAGCCATTCCTTCAGATCACTGTGGTCCCATTGTGTAAGTAAATGAGCATTGTCTTTACTGACTGTTTTGTTCACTAGGTGATGACAATTCTGGAAGGAAGGTGATTACCTTCAGTTGCTGCCGTATGCCCCCCTCCCATCAGCTCAATCACACCAGATTGCTGGAGTAAGTTTTTCTCAGTCTCCTGAATGGATTACTTTACATTTTGTATGTGAACATTTATTAGTGTGTTTCCAGGTGAATGAGCTTTCATGCAGCAGAAGCAGGAGGCAAGGAATGAAATGAAAAAAGTATCTAAGACCTACTAGTGTTAACATTAAGTGAATGAGATGTGGATGAAACTGCCAGAGTTACTTCACCTAGAATCTTGACTAGAGGAAGCAATTCACTGTGTAATGAAAATAACTTATCTTGATTTTTATTAGCGAATTCCGATCATATTTTAAAAAATGAATTTATGATGAGGACCAATGAACGAGAAATTTTAGTGGTTTAGTGCTCCATGCATATGTTCTCATGAGTAGCAGTGTTTGCCTTAATTTGCTATACTTTCTCCTAAATCAGTCAACAAGAGTGTTACTTAGTTATTTACATCTTAGTGGTTTCCCTCTTTTATAAAAATATCTGTATTACGTACAGTATATTATACTTAACGTTTTCATATGTATCTCACTTTGTAATGTTCGGGCTTTTTGTGTTAAAAGAGCTTGTGAATGCATAAAATGACATTCTTCCTTATAAACTTGCTGCAGCAAGGTACCAGGACATGTTTCTGCCTTGTAGTTTGTCACTACAAGGAAATCTGTTCTGCCATGAGAGTCCTGTCCCTATTAAGCGTTTTAAACCTATTTGTAGTTCTTGTACAGTCTCCATTGCTAAAATATTTGAGCACCTTTTCAACCATCAGTACCCACCACTTTTGGAAAGGACTGAGGTGCTCTTATCTCAACTTGTCAGAAAGAGAGAGATTAGAAAGCAGGTTATTTTAAGAAGTGTGTTTGAGACCATGTTGCTTCAGTTGTATGCTCTTCAAAGCTAAGGTATTCCCACAGCCTTAAGCCAGAGCTTCTTACGTAGCATAGAAGGAGTGTTAGCGCCTGGGAGGAAGAGCCACACTAGTCAGCTCCTCACCTAGAGGAGCTACCTGCAGTGATTAAAGGGAAATGCCAAAGAAAGGAGTGCGACAAACTGCGTTGCTACCAGATCTAAGAACCCTTCCTCAGTTCTGCAAGGAGATGTGTTGATGGAACTAGGATTTCCAGCCCTTAGATTCTTCTGGACTCAAACATTTACATGTGTTCTTGTGTCTGAGCCCACACCAAATTCACTTGGAAAGTCTGTGCTGAGAGAACTGAAAGCAGGTGTCTGAAAGTGAAGCTAGCAATATAACTCTCAAGTGATCTACTTGTGGGTATTTAGACCTAGATGTTGAGTTTTGAGCAAATACTGAAGAATAGGCCTGGATTGGTAAGTGTTTTGTGATGAAATCACTTAAAGAATTGATTTGGTAAAACTTCTCTGTCCCTGCAATTCTGTTATAGCCTTGGAACAGGTAATCAACTGTACAAAAATACTGATTATTTTATGCCCACAAAACTCTCTCAATTATTTTTAGAAGTACAGGCTTTCCTTTATGCAGTGTGCCAAGGAATTTACATGCTGTAAAATGAAACCTGAGGAACTTTGTATGTAAGAATATCTGCTTAGATATATTTTCATTTCAAACACTTTTTAAAAAATTGAATGACTATTACTACTACTTCTTCCATTAAAATACCATTAATACTTTAGTCGGGGATCAAAACAGCATTGTATTACTTATAATGGCAGTCCTTGTCCCAGGCTATTTGCAGCCTAAGTTTTACAGTATGCTGAGGGAATAAGCAGAAAAATGAGACTGTGGGAGTACAGTGTAAGAGTGAAATCATGGGCTTTTCCATGCAAAGGTGGGTAGTCAGAATGTCCTTGATACTTTCAGATAGCCACAGCCCAATAAATATGGAACATAGAACTGCCTATTTTACTGAATGAAAATTGCTTACATACCTTTAAGAGCAATAGCTGGGGCTCTGTCGCAGAATAATAAGATAACATTGAGAATGACATGAGAAAGTTGAAATCTGACACAGCAAGAGATGAGGCTGAATTGTGCTCCTCCATCATTGCTTTATTTGAATCATTGAGCTGTGTAATAGGGCATACAGTGTTCTCAATTGTAGGAGAAAGGGAAGAGAAAAGCATCTTAAACCATGCCATAAAAGAATGAACACACAGAAATCTGCTTATAAAACATACAGTATTATTCCAAGATGAGGTAAGCAGTGTAGTTCTTTAAATTGGTTTTAAGGGAAATGATCAATGAATGCAGTCCCCATATACAAACAAGGGAAAGGCAAATATATTTAAGAAAACAGTTTACAGTAACAAGTTGTAATTGACAGTAATTAGGGCTAATGGATTTTTCAAGAATTTTAAAAGTTTTAAATTGAGAGGAAAGCCCAAGATTTGTTCTTTATTTCTTTGGAAAGTTAAAATGATAGTGTGTGCCTGGCTAAAAGGAAGGAATTTACAAAGACTAGAAGAAAGCAAAATAGAAGTCGCTGTTAGTTAAATTGCATCTTTTTTAAGTTTTCTTGGAAAACGTAGTCCCATGTCTTCATCTTTTAGTGATTAATGAGCACCGTAGTTTTTGTAACTAAATACGTTCTTTCAAATTTCAGGCTTTGCAGTCATGTGGAATTATTGGCAACACTGCCACTAGAGGAAGATGTTCGATAAATACATGGAAGCGAACATGAATTTGCAGTCACTAGCATTCTGTGCAAAAATAGCACATTTTGTTTCTCAGTTACTGCTTTAAAAATCTCATACAGTAAACTGTCTTAAAACTAAAATGTTATCTTTCTCCTCAGGTACTTAAAGTATACTCTGGACCAGTATGTAGAGAATGATTATACGGTTGTCTACTTTCACTATGGCCTGAAGAGTCTGAATAAACCATCTCTGAAATGGTTACAAACAGCCTACAAAGAATTTGACAGGAAGTACGTCTCCAAAACATTTGGTTTACTCTTTAGTCGTGTAATGTCTGTAGCTTCCATGAAGGAAGCGTGTCTTTCCTGATCTGCCTGTAGCTAACCGAGTTCGTTTTGCCGTTGCAAATTCTTGTCATGATATCGTTGCTGTTGGTTCTCTTGTAAGTGCCTTCTGTGCAGTACTAAGACATGGCCTGAGTGCTGCAGTGGTTATCCAAAGGTACAAAAAGCCTTGGGAACAAAACCAAGAGCCATTGCCTTTTCTGTACGCTATTTAACAAGGTACCTGTGACACCTTATTAGTCATCACTCTCCATTATCTCACAGTTGTGTTTGAACCTTTGATCATCCCAAGGCTAGATTGTATAGAAAAAAAGGAAAGATTAGTTTTTCACAGCCCGTATCTCACAGCCCTTGTGGCCTTTGTTGGTTGTTATGTGTCAAGCCCCAAAGGGAACGCTGTGCTTGTATATGCCTGACCTTTGGAGCAGCGACCGGCTGTGACTCATGGCTTCACATTTTAGTTGGTTAGGGTGCCTTCGAGGCCAAAGCTCGTAGATAACTGGCATTTTAACATAAAGTCCTGATGTTTATTCTCTGAAAATGCATGCTTACAGTTGAGCTGAAAGTTCCTGTTGAAGTCAGTTAGTCTTGTTTGCAAGTTGTCTCTCAACTTACTTATTTGTAAGTTGTCCTCAAGAGGGCGACATGACTGAAAGCAAAAATATACACAAATAGCTCTTTCCTGATAGTGAGAGTACGTGTGCATGTGCACTTTGGGGGGATGGATCATACAAGTCTGATTTTTTTCTATTTCAGAGCTAGAACAAGGAGAAAATATCATAAAAGATGCTGTGAAAAATATTATCAGGTGTTTCTAGACTAGACTGGGAAATAAATGCCTGAGAATTTCACAGCACACCCTGCTTTGAAAATTGAAGTTGAGATATGCACGGCACCTTTTGGTGGTCTGGCGCCAGAGCTCAGACTCTTGTAGAGAGTCTTGCCCAATAACCTTCTGAAACTCTGAAACCCACTAAGCAAGAACGTGAGGTTCAGACTTCTTATGTATGTGTGTTGGTGGTCAAAGGAAAGAGAAAACAAAGGAGAGGACGGTAATTAGCTAGTGTCATGAAAGTAAATGCTCAACAGGAATAGCTTCAAAAGAACAAATCTTACTTTGAAAGTTTACAGCAGAGGCTCAGTAGTCTTGTGGGTGTTTAATTGTAATCTAGCAAACTATGAAGTATGTAAACTTCCACAGAAGCAATAGCTTATGCCAGTTGCTTCAAGGTGCCAAATAAAATGGTAACTTCAGTAAAGCAACTCAGGTGTTTTGCTTGTTAGTTTTTATTGTCAATTTTGGGTTCTTTTCCACAGTGATGCCAACTGTGCAGGGATAGTTGTTTGCTTGTGTATGATAGTGGCTTTGTGAAAACAGTGCCTTTTTCATTCAAAGATGTATGGACACAAAACTCAGAAAGAAAAACTGTGGTAGTTGCTGCATTGATCCCTTTTTCCTCTTACCATAACCTGTTAAAAGAAGGTTTTTTCTTAGGCATTCATGATATTTTTTTTCCCATGATCATTGTTTTTCTTACAATGAATGGTGAACACTTGGGAGCGACGCTCCCTACTGGGAAGCAGACTTGAAAAAGTAATAAGCAACAATTTTTAGATGTAAAAGCAGAGTATTTCATGATGCATTTCTCAGTTTCATTTTGCAATAACGTTGAATAAGAGCAGAGTCTTTTTGTGCGGCCTGGTTTCCATTTCAGTTTCAACCTACTGGAGTCTCTGGTTTATGTATCATGATATGACACTGTAGAATCAAGAAATGCTGTAATGGAAAAAGGTTTTTGTTTTATGCAAAGGGAACCATCCAATATAAAACAGTACGCAGTTGGCTTCACCTTTAGTAATTACTAGCAAAAAAGATAAAAGTAGTGGTAAAAATAAAAGATTAAGTGTAAATTTTACATCTGAAAATTTAGATGTTTTCTCCAAAATGAAACTCCTGTAAGCAGAAAATAAAGGGAGATGAAAGAAAGGAATTTTTTTTATATCACAGAAATTTTTGTAGACTCTTCATTCTTGTCTCTTTTTTTTTTTTTTCTCAAGTTGCCTGATTTCCCTTCTGTCCCCCTAATATTAAATCTATGAGACAGCAGACATTGGTTAGGAACGTAATAGTGTTATCTCGGCCTACTATTGTGTCATCAAAACTGACCATTTTTTTAAATTGGTTTTTTTTTTCATTTTACATTCAGTTTCTTCTGAATTAGGTCTTTTTCATGTATTTGAAAAGAATGCTTTATAATGTTCCTGTAATAATACCTCCCATTCAGTTGTAGCTATTCAGTTCTGCCATCTATGATATTCAAAAGTCTTCTAACGATTTCATTTTCTTTTCCTAGGTATAAGAAAAACCTTAAAGCACTCTATGTTGTACATCCAACCAACTTCATAAAAATTCTGTGGAATATCTTTAAGCCTCTTATAAGGTACTTGGCAGTTTATTCAACACGTTTTCCCGTTTAGTTTAAGTGTGGTTTGTTCTCTAATAAGTTGCTTTTAAAAAGGCTTGAGGTAAAATATGTCGGGTAATGGCACAATAGCCATTTAAACTGTCTTGAACTAATGAGTAAGGTGAGCTTCAGCTTGGGTATGAATAATAGGGTAGAGTTCTTTTCTTTCTAAGAAAAGGGAGTCTCAATTCATAGTAGTTTTACTGGTATGTTAAAGTAAATGTCACTTTAAAACACAGTTTTTCTGTGGACCTTGAATGACTTTTTTGTCCTGTTTGACAGCACTTAGCACAATAGAACTGAGTCCATGACTGGAGTTACTAGGTGGTACAGTAAAGCAGATAATAAATGGTTAACCTTCGGTCTGATCTCAAGTACTGAAATGAATAGGAATGATACTACTTGTGTGTTTAAAGTTAGTGGATAAGCCCTGAAGTGCCCATAAGAATTTGAGATGGAGGGTATAATGATGAAGGTAGATGTATTTTAGTGGTGCATCCTTTTCCTTAGCATAGTAAAAATTGATGCTATCTACAAAGAACTGGCAACCATGGGCAGGTATTGCTAAGTGCTAAGGTGGCTAGGCTTCCTTAGCTTCTGCTTCTGAACTTCCGTCACTTTCAAAGTAATTCTAACATTTTTCAGATTGTATTATGAATGTCCTCAGGGTTGAAGGGCGAAAACAGCTTATCTTGAGAAGCATGATGAATCAACTACAAATGTCCAGTACAGTAACTTGCAGTTGACTCAGTTTCTGACTGGTAGAAAGGTAATTAATTAAAAAAGAGAAGTTTAACTTCTAGATAGATCAGAATGTGTAAGAGGCATGTGAAAATAAAAAAAAAATATATAGTTACTAAAAATCATTCCAGAATATGCTGTTCTTGAAACAAGATGACTGACTATAGATCTTTATTTTAACTGGTAGTAAAATAAATACCAGAGATCCAGGAAATAGACCAATGGTGAGAAAAGTGTGACAAAGGCAGGATGAGGATGTCCAGTAGCTGATGGTGCCGCAGGAATGGGGATGGAGTTTTTTTGTTCCTGACTTGCTGTAGGATGGGTATGAAGAGCTTTCTAGGGGAAAAACAAACAAACAAACAAACAAAAAAACCACAACAACAACAAACAAACAAACAAACAAAATAAAACCAGAAAAACTCCTGATGAACGTTACAACACTTGGGTGAAATCAACTTCTTTCTCAAAGGAAGCTGAGAGCTGCTTGGGAATGGCTCCAGGCACGCAGTTTTGGGACACTGACAGTTTTCAGTCTGTGCACGCACTCAGTAGAGCCACAGCTGGACAACAGCCATGCTACTTGACTTAGAGTAATAATTGGCTACTAATTCTTACAAAAGAAAAATTTACAGGTACCTGTTCCAAATTCTTTTTCCCTGGACCTTACCATGTCTATGTAAATAAAACGAATACTTTTTTTCTTAGAAGGGTATGATACACTGGCAATTAATTCTTGTTTACTTTGGATGTGAAAATAGGTGACCCTGATAAGCTTAAGCGTTCGTATCTAGCCTAGGAAAATCAAACCAGGGCGTGTAATCTTTGATGCATCATCATCTTGACCTTCTGAACACTCTGATTTCATCAGGATTGGTTGTTCTTGTTTGTACTCGACTTTTACCACTGTGTACCTGGATACTTGTTTTCAGTTTAATTTAGTAACACTCTTTTCTCTGTTGTTAAAATGTGACCGACAGAAACAAAGATATTCGTACGTTGGGACTGACAAAATAATTGAAAGTATGAGTAAACTCTGAAAAAGTCCATAAGCCAGAAGGCAGGAATTAGCTGAAGCTAGGAAAAAGCCCTCTTTACTGCTTGAAATAGTTTAATTGTCAAATGCTCACATGCATACTCTTAGCAGATCATGCTGTTATTTAAGTGTCAATGTTAAACCAAAGTTCACAAAAAGAAAGGAGAAAAGTTTTCTGGACTTTCTGTTTCCTTTGCTGAATTATAGCCCAGACTTATTTGTAGACAGGGTTTCCATAAAAACCACAGACATAAAATGTATTTCATTACCAAGAAATATGTATTGATTTTTCAGAGATCTTTTAGTACATTTGGTACCTTTTAGTATGTGGCTTAAGTACTTTTACGTGAACAATGTAGTTGCTAAGAACTGGACGAATGACAATTATTAGTGTGAAGAACAAAAATAGTACCTATTTTTAGCACACTTGTATTTAAAAGTATTTAAGAAAATGTAAATACTTCAAATTTTTCAGACTCCAAAAGTTAATTGATCTCCTTTCCAGTCCCAAAAGAGATGATCAAGAAGGTAATGTTAAGTCAAATGTAGTTTTTCCAAGCTGCAAAAAAACTGGAAGATGATCACTTTTCTATGTGTGAGCTAACAGAAGCCACCCACCTGTTTTCAAATTCGTATACATTTAGGTGGTGGTGATGTGGCATTTTTAAGGAACAACAATAATTCCTAATTGCCCACGACTTAGTTACAAATTATGTGTTCTGTAACGTGTCCTGTATTACCAAGGGTGATTAGTTAAAGAGAATTCTGTGCTAGCCCGTGGCTGAGGTAAGATGTTGAAATCGCAGGCTCTTTTGGATAAAAGACACACTGAGGAGCTCTGAGATTGTACACGCACAGACTGATATCTGTCAGTGTCCCAAAAATGCTTGACTGTTAGCAAAATTTAGCTCATTTCAATTAAAAGCTTCTAAAATGCTGAAGTGACTTTTGTTTGTACCATCTCCCACTAGAGGGAGCGTGTGTATGTGTATTTAACGATCCAGGGATAAATTCATTAATGCGACAGACTCTTTCTCCAATTTTACTATCAAAGTAAGTTGCAGCAAAGTACACTTTTTATCATAAGCACCTATTATTTTATTTGACACTTAATTACAGGAAAAATATGTGTTGCAGAAAAATATGAAGT